ATTATAATACTTTGCTTTGTCTTCACATGCTGTCCTTTGGAATCTTCTGTTCAACTCCTAAACTTCTCCCCCCACCCCGGTCTATTCTGGAATACTTCTTTTTTTAAAAAAAAAATTAATTTCAATGAACATTTACAGAGATTTTGGATTTCCAGTCATCCATTGTTGCACTTTTCTCCCCACCCACCCCAACCCCACCTCCACCCCCAGTTTGCTCCTCTCCTTGGAAAGCAAAAGACAAACTCCTTCATTGTTCTCCATTTTTATGGCAAGCTTCTCATCTGGTTGTTTTTGGAGGATCAGGGAGATAGAGTCTCCCCCTTTGTCCAGTTGTGGTGGCCCCACTTGTCTATTCTGACTTGTAGTTTGATGGGAGGGAGAGGTTCCCCCTTTCAGGAGCAGACATGGTGACAGGAGTGCTACCTGGAATATTTTCCTCCCCAGGTCTCAGTAGATGAGACTGCATAGCTGTGCATAGCCTGCATAGCTGTGTTCTCTCCTACAGTTCATTAAGGCAACTGAAGGTTTTTGCTTGCTTGTTGATAGGTATCTGTGGGGAATGTGGGGTGGAGATGTTGTCACTGAGAGGAGTCAGACAGAAATAGGCCTGTGTGTTGATTGGTATTATTAAAACGAGCCTTACATAATTTCAAACCACTGACATTTTGGTTAGCAGCTCAACATGCCCTGTCCAGGGCTCCTTCTTTTAAACACTCACCAGCAACAATCTCTGTGTCTTCTATGCATGAACCCATTAAACCTTCTTAGAACCCTAGGAGGGTGGGATTATCCTTAGGCTTATATTACAGAAAAGGAAACTCACTTATTAATTAAGTGAATTCTCTAAGACCATGAAGAGAGGGAGTAGAGAAACTAGGATTTGTTCTGAGGCATTCTGATTTCTTGTTTTAATTCTATTCATATCATCTATACACTAATTGCTGTAAAGTTGTAACTGACTCATAACCGACCTCCAGCAGCTTTCCAAGGCTGAAATTGCACAGGAGGAGATTTCTCATCTTTATTACTCAGACCCACTGGTGCATTAGATTTAAACTACCAGAGAGATGCTGCCTTTTGTGTTAGCAGAATAAGTCCCCACAGAGAAGGTGTCGAGAGTGCTCTCTATACACATGAAGCACTAAATTCTATTCCTCCTTTATCAATAACCCAACAGAGAGCAGGAGTACTCAGGGGATTATTGTTGAAACATGCGAGAAATAAAAGCACACCAAAGATAAATCAGAAATTATCTCAGATTCATTCACTAGCTCAAAATCCTCCTCTTATGTGGGGAAAGACAGAAAAAGAACCTAAAGGGTTTACACAAGGAGAGCTTTGTGAGTAGAAGTGGTGGGCAGTTAGAGAGGCAATGAGGACTTAGAGAAGCAGCAAGAAGGACCAGCCTGGGCAGGAATCCCTCCCTCTGCCACTCTGCTGTAATCACCCATGAAAATCAGAGACCAGAGGCAGACATCAATCAGAACCCTGCACATCAGTGCTCATTGCAACACAAGAGCCAAGTGTCTATGAACAGATAGACAAAATGTGGTGTATTACTACAATGGAGCACTACTCATCATTAAAGAAAAGTGAAGTCCTGATAGTTCATGGATGAAGCTTGAAAACATTGTGCTCAGAGAAATGTCAACCACAGAACCACTTATGTATGATTGACCTGATATGAAATATTCACAACTGGCCAATCTATACAGAGACAGCAATGAATTATAGCTAGTTTCTGGGGTGAGGTGCTGAGGCGTGACTGCTTAATGAGCCATGTCAGTGGTCCCCACCAGCAGTGCTGGAGGGCTCCACATTCTTTTTCTGTCCTTGCAGTCTTCTTGTCAGGCCAGCAGGAACACAGTGAGAGGCTACTTCCTGGCGGGACGGGACATGACCTGGTGGCCGGTGAGTGACCTGCCTGTTGCCCATCATCTCTTTGAGGAGCACAACCCGAGCTCTAGGCCATTCAGTCCTCACTGAGGGCCTGTGCCTGGATCTAGGGGCTGTTCAATGGAGATTCCTCACTGGTTAAATGGGCCCCTGACCCCTCTTCTTTTTTTTTAAATAAAATTTTTCACATGTGATTTTAATTAAAGTTTACAGAAAAGTTGCAGAGTGACAGTGTGCTGCAGGCTTGTGTAGACAAAGTCAATGGTGTCATCTGGTGACAGCTCTAACCAGTTTCCTCTTGCTCTTACAGATTGGGGCTTCCCTCTTTGCCAGCAGTGAGGGATCTGGTCTCTTCATCGGGCTGGCAGGCTCGGGTGCGGCTGGAGGCCTGGCAGTGGCAGGCTTTGAATGGAATGTGAGACTCTTAGGGGATAGTAGGCTGGGGGCGGGGGTGGGCTCAGTGACTAGGGCACAGTCCAGCTCCTGTGTCAGTCATGCCACAAGATAAGCACAAGATAACCTTTGGTCCCTGAGGTACAGCACTGCAGTACCCTCCAGTGCTGAGTCCCTCCTGTGTCCATCTGTGTCCCCTGTTGCCTGGTGTCACTCAGCCTTGCGTTTGTCTTCTCTTGCCTGCTCAGGCCACATATGTGCTGCTGGCTTTGGCGTGGGTGTTTGTACCTATCTACGTCTCCTCAGAGGTGAGTTGGCTCTACAGTGTAGGATGCCCGATGACCTCCAGTTGTGTTCGGGGCCCATAGTGCAGCTATGGGAAGAGTCATGGGGCCTTTACTCAAGTTGGGGAGGTAATTTGTGTTTCTAGCTCTCGTGATAGACTGAGTGGTTACATGGTCTCAACGTTTTGGAGGCTGGAAGTTCAAATCATTGGTCAAGCACTGTAGTGGCAGATGCTTTCCTGTTGCCCCCACCTTCCCTTAGGGTTTCTGGGTTGAGGCTGTAGCACTCCTCTGTTGGCCAGCGTCCTGTGAATGCCTTGGTGTGTCTTCTCTTTCCTTTTAAATGGGCACCAGCCAGATGAGGACTTACCTACCCATGGTAATCGATGGCATCTTCAAAGATCCTGTTTTCAAACTTGGCCATATTTCCAGGGACCAGAGAGTAGGGCTTCTGTGTCTTTTAGGGGTCACAAGTCACACCATAATAGGATGATGGGCAGGACAGCCTGAGCTCCTAACAAATTGGTGAACTTCTAGGGCTGAGTGTGTTGTTAGTCCAGCTACTAGACCGATCAAACCCGAGGTAGAACCTTGGTGTCTGCTCTAAGATAGAGGAGTTTCACGCTCCAGCTCTGAGCTGAGCTGTGCCAGCCCTGAGCTGAGCTGTGCCAGCGCTGAGCTGAGCTGTGCCAGCTCTGAGTCTCACATCTTTACTCTGGTAATCACCAAGCCCAGTGGTTTCTCCTTTCCATCTCAGTCTGTCCCCTGCCCTGCACCTTACAGCCAGTTCCATAGCCTTTCATCTCATCCAGAGTTTCCACACAGCCTCTAGACCTGTCCCTTCATCCCTCGCCACAGCCCCCTCAGGACAGTGTGGTGCTGTTAGGGTTTGACTAGAATTTGATCTAGGATTTGGGCCTACTGGAGTGAGCCCAGAAGTGCTCTTGGAGGGTGCTCAGCAATTCCTGAACCTCTCCCCAGATTGTCACCATGCCAGAGTACATCCAGAAGCGCTATGGAGGCCAGAGGATACGCATGTACCTGTGCGTCCTGTCCCTGCTGTTGTCTGTCTTCACTAAGATATCGGTGAGCAGCCCTGCTCCCCTAGCCCAGCCAGCCCCTTATCTGGAGCCAAGGACCTATCTGACCTCATCTGAGGTACCTCTGACTAGTTTAACACCTGGGGAAACTGAGGGCCGGAAAGGGCTTTCACCTCATTAATGGTTGCCTGCATAAGTCAGGGCCCCAGATGAGCTGGAATGCAGCACCCCAGCTGCATGGTGTGGCCTAGCTCTGCCCCTGCTTCTAGATGCCATGACCCTCCCTTGGAAGAAAGATGCCTCCATGAGCAGACAGCCTGCTCTGAGCCTCAGGGATAGGAGGAGAGCAAAATCCCCATGGGGGTGCCCCTCACCGGCCCTCCTTTGGCTGACCTCTGGGCTCATCTTCTTGACACTGGTGCCAGTGGGTTCTCTTCTAGGCTGCCTTCCCTTGGTGGAGTCTGGGTCTGATTCTACCAGAACTGAAAGCACATGGGGAAGTCAGAGTCAGGAGGAGTTTGAGTTTGCCTCCTCTAAGGTCTTGACTGTGCAGGAAGGAAACCAGGCCAAGGAAGGGAAGTGACATACTCAAAGCCCTCCCTGACTGCCTGGGAAGCTCAATCTTCCAGTCCTCATTCTTGATGCTTGTGGCTCTACAGTTTCCCTCTGTTCTCTTAGCCAGCTATTTTCAGAAGTCTCCAGAAGGCTTGGTTGTTGGAAGGCCCAAACCTGAACTGTACCTGTTTCTGATAGGGTTCCCATTTTCTGGAGCTTAAACAATTAGCCAAGGATGTACAGAGGAGGTAGACCTGAACAGATGGCCCACTCTCCTTTGCTGGCTGGAAGGAGTGGTGGCCATTACCCTTCAGTTTCTGTGAATGGCCATTGCTAGGTGGTTGGGGAGGTCCATCCCTTGCCCATCTCATTCTAGCAGGAAGCCATCCGGCATTGCCCTGCCTCTGCAGGCTGTGAGAGAGTGGTCCTAAGCTGTGTGGGAGGGCCACAAAGGCCCCTTGTGGCTACTAGGGTCTTTTGTGTGTACCCTGGGGAGCCATTCAAAGGAGTCCTTCAGGGGAGGCACCTCACAGCAGTTTCTTGAAAACTGTGAGTAGTTTCCTTTCTCTGGGGTCCTATTCTAGTCTGTAGGCCATAAGCTCAACCATTTTCACTCACTCTCATTTGCTCATGCTTTTTTTTTTTAATTATTAAATTTTATTAGTTTTAGTGAACATTTACAGAGATTTTGGGTTTTCATTCATTCATTGTTGCACTGTTGCTCATGCTTTTATTCCCTTCCCCACCAACCCTGAGTTGCTTCTCTGCTTTCCACCTCCCTGAAAGTCAGAGATACAGAAATGAATGAGAAGTGATTCCCACCTTTCAAGGACCTAACCACAGTTGGGAAAAGGGCCTGCAAGCCAGATGAGCATCAGGTGGGTGTGGCCAGCATGCCCAGAAGGACACATGGAACTTGCTGAGACAGTACTTGACTTGGACTCAGTGGTTGAAAAGGGTGCTGAGAGGGGCAGGATAACCAACACCAAGGGAGGACGAGGCAGTGAGGAAGTGTCTGGGAAAAGCCAGTCCCTCCAGGGTCAAGAGGCCTGGACCACCTAAGCACTCATTTTAACCCAACTACTTGTAAAAACTACACAATTATTTTTTTTACGTATAAATTAATGAAATTTTGGAATAAAGTGAGAATGAGAAGAAAAAAAAAAAAAAGAGGCCTGGACCCCACAAATATCTTCTTAGAACAAAGTACATAATGCAAGGAGATGCTGAGGGTGGTAACAGGGAGTGTTGGGTATGGTGGCAAGCCAGAGACCATGCCCATTAAACAGTCCTGCATGTGCCCTGTTAGGCCCAGGCCCAGAGGAGTTGGAAGCTAGGAGCTCTGGCTGGAATTGTATTTTCAGGGTGCAGTGGGAAGGTTTTAAGCAGGAGAATTATCTGGTCAGAGGTGTATGTTGGTGCTGGCTGGGATCTCTCAAAGGACAGGCAAGAGGGGAGTGGAGGGAAGGCAGGCTATAAGAATGAGTAAGGTCATGGGACTAGTGGTTCCTCTGGTCTCTGCTTCCCCCTCTAGACATGCTTATGTATAGGCTGGCTCAGACCTCTGGCCAGAAGAGTGTGGAGGTGGGTCCAGAGGGATCTTTTCTAGTTTCCTTAGTTTGCAGGTGAGGCTAAGGAGACTGAGGGGGGCGGGGGGGTTCTTCCTGGTTCAACGTCATTCAGAGGTCAGAGGTTACAGTTAGAACCCAAGCCTCCTGCCTAATCTGGGCCTCCTACTCAGAACATTGGATTCCACACTCCATTTTGGCCAGTAACCAGCTTTCTGATAAAGATGACTCCATTTACCCAGCTATAAAATGAGAGCAGTCCTTGCTGTACCACCACCCAGGACCCGTGGGAATGGAGGCATAGTTCCATTACTGTGCCTCCGTGGCTAGTCGTTTAGGCTCTGAAAAATGAGGACCCTTGCCCATTCTGAGGGGCTTCCTCTCTTTTGCTGACCCTCTACTTTACTACAGATGGCTAGAGTATTATAAAAGAAGCAAGCAAGGTGCTGATAGAATCAAGGCAGACTGAAGAGGTTCCACTCGCTTTTGAGAAAAGAGGTCTTAGGTGTAGTCTGACAAGTAAGTTGGAGGTTCTAGTCCAGCAGTGGCAAAAAAGGCCTGACATCTAGTCTAATGTCACCCACTAAAAACTTTGTGGTGTGAACAGATTATTTCTAGTCTGACATGAGTAGAGTTGCTGTATGGCTGTGCCAACTCAACAGAAACTGGTTAGGGATAAACGTCTGGTAGTGGAGCCAATGGGTGCAGCACCATGGGCAGATGGAGAGTTTGGGCCAGGCCCTGGGACAGGACAGAGCTAGGCCAGACCCAGGGCCCATACGCACTTCAGGGGCCAAAGGAGCACATAACTGAAGTCTCACTCAAAAATCTCACTGCCATCAGGCCAGTGCCCACCCATAGTGACTCTCCACGAGTTTGTAAGGCTGTGAATCATGGTGAGAGGACACTACCCATCTCTGGCTCTCTGCCAAACTGTTGGTTTATTTGAGCTGCTGGAAGTGCGTAACCTTTGGGTTAGCAGCACAATCCACTTGAAATGCCACACAAGCTCCCCTAAGCTGGGATCAGAGGCCAGGAATTCGTAACGTGGATGTCAGAAGCATAGAGAAGCATCTGATGCTGTTTTAGAGAAGCTGTTCAGGGAAGATGTGGTCTAGGGAGCTGGGAGTGGGAGGACAGGCACTCGAGAGGAGTCTCCACCGTGGAGAGTGACCAGCCTGCTCTAGGGATAGAGAAAAGGCACGACTCAGGTGGGTGGGGCTGCCTCTGTGCATGTGGGCACTGGGAAGTACAAGAAACAGCCCCTTTCTGTGTCCCTGACTTGATGCACTCCTCAGGTCTGACCAGGCCCACCAGGGCCTCACTCTAGACTAGCCCAGTGGGGTGGTAGGTTCACTCCTCAGTCCGTCCATGTCCCCCTCTGGGCATGGGGTGTCAATTATTCAGCTGTAGGAAGAAGCAGCCCTCCTGTGTGGTCTTGCTGCACCACAGCTTCTCAGGAAGCAGAACCATGTTGTGGAGAGACCTCCAGCGGAAGCCTGGCCTGGGCACTAGAGGACTATTGGTGGGATCAGTGTGGTGGTCACACCACTCATTTCTGCATCAGGACATTTGTTGGCTCCGAGCCGGGGGGCAGCCCGCTGGGTGCAACATGCAGCTTGGACTTGCTTTGTGAGCTTGAGTATGAACACAGAGCAGTACCCTTTGGAAGGCCCAGTTGTTGCCAACCTGACCAGTCCCCTGGGCCTCTCTTGGCCTTGCTGCTGCAGGGAGGAGGCCCTTTAAGTCCCTGCCTACCTCCAGGAGTCTGGCAAGGCCACCTGGAGGGTCGGAGGGGGAGCAGGATAGACAGCAGATCTGCTGAGACGTGCTCCAAAGAGGAAGCAATTGTGTTTCTGCACATCCTTTCCCCTTTTTACAGATAAGGACCACAGAGGCCAAGAGAAGATAGGTGACTGCCAGAGGCTGGGGACAGAGGGAGGACAAGGGCATGGGCAGAGGACACAGCTTTCAGATGGCAAGCAGATGGCCTGGATATAAGAGGAGTGACATCTGAATCCCCAGACTCCCTGGAGTCTGGTGGCCTATCCTGCTAGGGCTGTTAGTGGATGTGTTGTGTGCAGGCGGGCTGGTTTGCTGCCACCTTTGCTTCAGTGGTATGTGCTCCTTTGGTACTCTACTTACTTCTGGAGGGAGGGTTCACTGCCCTGGAACTCTGCCTGAGAGGTGGGGCAGAGGGAGGCCAGGCTGGCAGACTGGAGAGATCTGGGGCTAGGCTTTCACCTCTCGGGCTCTCACTGTGGGTTAAGTCTCTTCTCTACCCAGAGACTGAAGGAGGTCAGACTGCAGTTCTGCTGTGGTCAGTACCTCTAGCAGTCCAGAACCCCAGGCTTCCCTCACTGCACAGCCAAAGCCAGGACCCCAGGAAGAGGGCAATGTGTCCAAACTGTCTGCTCTCCTCTCCACATGGTGGTGGAGTCCCTCAGCCCCACCTGGTTTGGGGCCTGGGACTCAAGGCACACTTGGAGATGCAGGGTGGCTGGGTGAGGGTGAGCCCTTTCCTATCCCCAGGAATACTTTGGTTCCAGGCCTACCTGGCGCCTCTCTGAGCTCTGATTATGGTTTTGGTGGCCCATTTCAGCACTGACGTGGGCTCACTCAAGCATACCATGCATGCCTCTAGAACACTGCAAGGTGCAGTCCTGGGCTCTGTAGCAGCCTGAGGCATGGACGCCCACAGCTGGGTTCTTTTCCAGATGCATCATCACTGCCCACTGCTCTGACCTAGAGAACTCCCCCTGAAGACCTCCTGGGCCTTTCCTTAGAAGCTTTCACTGGGAACCAGGGCCCAGTCACACATGCTCCCTGATGAGCTGTGGCTGCTGCAGACTTATTAGTGACAGTGACCTGTACACTGGGCCAGGGACCATGTGTTTTTCCAGTCCCTTGCAGACCCTCAGTAGCCCTGCGAGGTGGGCAGGTATGGATTTCCCTGCTGCAGCTAGCGGTGCCCAGGAAGCATGGGATCAATGGCTGCAGAGTCCCAGTCTTGCACAGGGCTCGCTTGCTCCCCCAGATTGACCTGTATGCAGGGGCGCTCTTCGTGCACATCTGCCTAGGCTGGAACTTCTACTTGTCTACTACGCTCATGCTTGCTGTCACTGCCCTCTACACCATTGCAGGTATGACAGCACCAGGTGCTGTGGGGCAGGGTCCCCTCCACCGCCCCATAGCCCAAGGGGAAGGTTGCATGCACGGGGGTGGGGCAGGTAAGCCTGCAGAGCAGCTGCCCAGCAGTGGCACACCATTTTACCCATCTCCCTCCTCTCTGGGGGCACAGCCCCTTCTGATTTCTCTGTTGTCCCCACAGGAGGCCTGGCTGCAGTGATCTACACAGATGCCCTACAGACGTTCATTATGGTGGTGGGGGCCATCATCCTTATGGTCAAAGGTGTGGGCTTCGGGCTTTGGCCAGCACTTCGCAAGGCCCATGCTCAGGGATTTTGGATGAGACTATTAGACTACCAGGCACTAACTTCCCCCATCCCAGGACAGAAGCCTGACCCCCAGTGGCTGTTGACTTCCCTTCTGCTCCTGTGACCCAGCAGTTTTCCTGTCACCAGTGCTGGGCATCCAGGGTTGGCATCTAAGCTGATCCAGAACCAGTTGGTGGCAGGCTTGGGCTTGATAGTAAGGTGGAGCCCTTGCAGAAGTGGAGGCATGCAACAAGAACATGCCACTGCTTGCATGTCATCGCGTGTTGTGTGAAATCATGGAGAGTCCCAACAAAGGCAGAGGAGCAGGGTGCAGAAGGAGCAGTTATGTTGGTCTGTAAGGTCACTGAGGAGCAAGTGAACTGAATCAAGCATAAGGACAGAGCAGGGAGATGAGGGCGACCCCAGGACTCGGGGCACTTGAATGGATGCCTTGGGTCCCATGCTGCCAGCACACTGACCTCAGCTCCAGTGGGTACCTCTCCCTCCTCCGTTGCTCGGAGAAGGCTGGGAAGTGGGGTGTGCAATGGGGCTTCCTGCTCTTGCCCAGACCAGGGCCTCCTGTGTCCTAGAGTTGACAGGAGGTGGGTGGACAAAGCATGCAGTAAGCACAGGAATGCCAGGTCTTGGCAGTGCAGGGGCATGGTCCCATGGCAGCAAGAAGTGGTTCCACATCCCTGGTGTGAGCTGTCCATGCTGTCCACTGGCTACGTGCTCAATTAGGCCAACATCTAGGTGATTTAATTTCCTTCCTCGGTCATCCTCAGTCTGCCTAAAGTAACATGCCTTCAGAAGACCCTGGACTTAGGGAGTTAACACTGTTGATTCCCTAGGAGTGCCAGGAAAAAGACTATTTCTTCAAATAGACAGGGCGAAGCCTGGCAAAGTCCCTGGCCCTGAGACTAAGGAGCATCCAGGGCCACAGGGATTCTTTCTGGGTCACCAGAAGCCTTGGGTGCTGGTGTGCAAAATGCTCATTTAATGCTATTATTTTAAATACAGGTAACAGTCATTAAGTGGGGAGGATTCAAGTTTGCAGCATAAGGAAATTACTTTTAAGATGGTGGCAGTGAGACCAAGGTCACTCAACATCAAGCTGTCCCCTCTCCCACTTGACCCTTCTAGCCTTTAACCAGATAGGTGGTTATGAGCAATTGGAGGCTGCCTATGCCCAGGCCATCCCAGCCAAGACGATCGCCAATGCTACCTGCCACCTGCCACGAGCAGACGCCATGCACATGTTCCGAGATCCATACACAGCAGACCTCCCATGGACCGGGATGACCTTTGGTCTGACCATCATGGCCACCTGGTACTGGTGCACTGACCAGGTGAGTGTCCGTGTCATTTCCTTGCCTCTGCAGCCAGGCATGTATCCACGGATCCCATGTCCACTACAACCCCTCCTCTATGAGCAGTGTGGTTTTGCACTACACAGACCCAAAAAGGCGCAGAGGCATCATCGGCTGGGGAAGACAGCTAGGGATCCTTGTGGTCCCTGGGGGCTTGGGTCCTCTGTTTGGAATCAGATGAGGACCATTGGCCACTGCCCGTCCTGGTCTTGAGGTGTTTAGATTGCGATAACTTAGAGTATGGTATCCCAAAGGGACTTGATTGCCCCTCAGTGGCCCTGCTCCCAAGGTCTGGTAGAGTGCTGGGCATCAGGCTCCCCTTGGCTTGCCATTGGTGGGGGCTTCCTTTTCTGTGGGTGCTCTGGGCACTGTCAATGGCAGGACGACATTGCTGGGCTCCGGGGCTCCTGAGTGGTCGCAGGAAGCCATCTTTATCTCTGGTCCTGGAGGGTGAGACCCTATAATGGCGGAGTGGCTGGCCCTGGGAGAGAAGAGAGAAGGCAGTAAGAGCTGGGAAGCAGAAGAGGTCAGTCCACCCTTCCTAGCGGACCTTGGGCCCTTCTCCAGCACTGGGCAGATACAGGTTTAGTTCCTGACATGGCTGCTCCACAGGTGGGCCTCAGTTTCCCTGTTCTGTGAAGTGGGAACACTTCAACTTTTGGTGGTTCTCTGGAGGCTGAAATGCCTTGAAAGGGCCCACCTCTCCACCTGGCACATTCCTGATGTTTCTACCCCTGGTTCTTTCCTCATCTGTAAGCAAACTGAACATGGCAGAGAAGCCTCTCCGGGCCCAGGTTACTGGATGAGGGGGGTCCTGGCCCCTCCCTGGGCAGAAGCAGAAGCCATGTGCTATCCACTTATGAAGGCTTGGGTGAAGCTCCTGGTCCCGTGGGCCTTGCGCAGTAGCAGAATTAAACTGGCCCATCTCTGCTTCTTCTGAGGGATGGCCAAGCACCCTCCCCACTTCGACCAGTGAAGGAGGAAGGCAAACAGCAGCGCCCTCACTGCATTCTGGGACTCAGTGCATAGGCCAGCCTGCCCTGCCCTTGTGGGATGTAGTAGGTCAACTTGGAAAGAACTGGATATTCCTCAATGGCCCTGCCACTGGCCAGAGGGCTAACATTCTAGGCTGACCTTGGGGGTCAATGATAGTTGCTAATAAGAGTCCTATTAGAGGGTCTAGAGAGAGAACCAGGATTCATTCAATCCAGCAGCCCAGCCCAGGGTAACTTCCTGTCCACAAACTGCCTGCCCTGTGTGAAGGGGGCCTAGGGGCCCTTCTCCCACCAAACAAATGTCAGGAGACATCAAAAAGGCTGGTAGTGAGCTCAGCTCCCTCTACCAAGTTTCCCTTAAGGGAGATATCTTGATTCTGGATTCCACCTCACATAGGGTACTCCCAGGGACCATGGCACTCTGTGTCTACCACCTCCCCTGTCCTCAGGTGGGGAACTCCTGGGGAACATGGCACTGTGCCTGTCCACCACTTGCCCTGTCATCTGGGGGATTCCAGGGGAACATGAGACTCACTGTGAATGTCCACCACTTCACCTGGAGAGACAAGTGCCATGTGGGTGTGTTCCTGCCAGTCCTATACCGTGTACCCCACACACCACCTCTAGATTCTTCTAGGCTCAGCAATGAGGGGCAGGGCACTGGTATGTGAGGGTGTGGCAACTTTCAGGTTATTTTCCCATGAAGGCTGGATGAATCAGCACAAATCCCAGCCTAGAAACCAGTGGGCTAGGCTTCCCAAAGCTACTGGGAAAGTAGAAGTGGACCCAACAGGGCAGGACTCCTTAACTCTCTGTGCCTTCCCTGTACCCCAAGGTCCCTGCCCTGTACAAGTCTCTGCTGCTTCCCCAACATGCTTCTGCTGTGTCCTTCACCAACTCTGTCAGCTGAAATCACCCCATCATCAGGGCCTGGATTCAGCTCCCCACTGCCTTCTGGTTCCCCAAGTCTCTCCTTCCTGCTTACGGTCTGGGTAGAAGGGTCGGCATGGAGAGTTACTAGCCTTGCTAGAGGAACAAGCCCTCACTTCTGGGAATCAGGGGGTGAACAGCAGAGCCAGGAGGGAGAAGAACCTGCTGAAGTCACTCAGCTGGGTAGAGAAGCTGTCCGCCAGGGCCTCCTGCCCTCCCATCTCTACATGCAGCTGGACAGGCGAGTGGGCCTCTCCTGATAAGGTGCACGTGCTCTGGCATAGAAGGCCCTGTATTCAGGATAGGGGCTCCAGGCCCAGCTGCTTCTCCCCAGTGTTGCTGACTCCCCATCTGTCTGTGCTGAGCTCCTGGGCCAGGGCTGGTCCACCCATATACTCACAGCATTGTCAAATTCAAGGCCAGAGGTGGGTATGGGTGTCCCCCACCCCCACCCCAGGTTCTTCTATCTTATCTACAAGGAGTAGGTGATGCTTTTATAATCAGATAAAAAGGAGCAAAATCAACACAAGAGGAGGAAAGGAGCCAGTGGGAATGTCCTGGCTTTGCCTTCTATGACCGTAAAACTGAGAGGGTTCCCAAGTAGGGTTCATGGTTCATGCTCAGGTGTTAACTGAAAGGGGCGGGGTTGTGTTCACATGCAGACAACTTGTAAAAAAGACCTGACAATCTAATTCCAAAAAAAGCTAGCTTCTGGAAAACTCATGGGACACGGCTCCCCTGACACACGTGGTGTCAGTATGTGTGCACTAAGCTCCACAGCAATCAGTTTTCTATGGACAGATCTTCAGGTCCCTTTCAGCTCCGATTCCCAGCACACACCTCCTGCTGTTTAGCCACGATGAGCTCCTTAACTGGAGTAGTAGTGGCCTCAGTTCTCAAGTGACCACATGCCAGCCCCAGTGCAGGCTATATGGCACACAGGACCCCATGAGCACATGAGGGAAGCTCTCTAATTCTGAGCAGGAGGGCTCTGGCCCCAGCCCTCTGACTTCCATGCTGTGGCTCTGCTGAAGGCTGTACAATCAGGAGTGCTAGGGTACCCCACACCAAGTACCTGCTCACTGTGGCCTAAGTACTGCCAGGATTTGCCAGCAGGCCTTGGGAGTAGCAAGAGAACATGACTGTCCAATTCTGTGCTGCTCCCAACCTACTCAAGACAACTGAGGGGTTCCTTTCCCACCCCAGTCTACCATCATCTTCTCAATCCATTGATCAATTTGGCCTGTCTTCAAGGAGTTGGTATCCCCATCTGTCCAAAAGGGAATGGGTAGACCCTGCACCCCCTGCAGGAGTTAGTTGGACAGAACTATGGGCTGGATGGTGTCTGGATTCCAAGACTTAAGTGTCCCTTCTGGTGTTGGCCTCCCAGGTTATTGTGCAGCGGTCACTGTCTGCCCGGGATCTGAACCATGCAAAGGCCGGCTCCATCCTTGCTAGCTACCTCAAGATGCTCCCCATGGGCCTGATCATCATGCCTGGCATGATCAGCCGTGCACTGTACCCAGGTAGGACCTCTCAGGCACTGGCCTGGCTGCCTAGGAGTGTGTGGTGGCAGGGCCTGTTTCCTGGGAGCCTGCGTTATAGTCAAATAAAAGCCAGATATTTAATAGGAAAAATGTGAGCTGGTTTCCAGCCTCAGGGGAGCAGTGGCCTGGGGCCACAATCAAAAGGTTTGAAGAGGGGATGTAGTGGACATTACAGTCAGTCTGGGCAGGGGTCCTGGTTAACTACTTACTGCTCTGTCACTTCAAAGATATGAACTGGTCTTTTTCACCACAGTTGCCTGGCATACAAACTGAGGGCCCTATACCTGCCTGAAAGGCTGCATCAAGCCCCTGGGCAACAGGTGCTGAAATCCAACAACAGAGAGGGGTTGCTCACAGGCCAGCCAGGAGCCTTGTGGCAATGTGTACCCCCTGCACTTGCCCTTCACTCCAGAACCTTCCCAGTTTTAATCTCATCTCGAGCTGGCAGCCTCTCTTACATACAGGGTCCTGACTTCTCTGGATGCTAGGAGATTGTAACCCCTCCTTCTGTATGTGGGGACCCCAAAGCCCCAGGAGCTCAGGGGAGCTTGCAACCTCTCATGTGTGGGGACCCCAACCTACCTGTGCCTCCTTGTCTGGGGACGGCTGGGCTTGCATCCTTTTCAAGGCGTCTGCCTCTTCTCTTGCTCGACTTTGGGCCCATGGAGAGCACTGCACTGGTCCACCAAAAGTTCCTCGGCTCACGTGGGGGGCACTCAGCTGTCGGCAAGGAGAGGGGGCTGTACCATTGGTGGCCTGTTCTGAGTGGCGCCTTCGGAGAGGGGCTGTACGCTCCCTTACCTCAAAATACTCGTCCGACAGGGAAGAGGCCACAGAAGGCTGCCGAGGGCCAGGGCCAGAACTGCCAGACAGGCTGTCTTGGTCACTGAGGGTCACATAGTCATCATCATCTTCCTCTTCTTCCCCATCTAGCCCATTGGGGACCTCTGCCCTTGGGTTTTTGGGCTCACCCTGGGTCATGGTTAGCTGTTGCTGGAGTGAGCTATGGCTTGGGCCCAACTCTTGAGGTAGCCCTCGGTCAGTCCTATTTTGAGGTACCCCTTTGTCTAGAATCTCTGGGCCCCAGTCTATTCCATCCTCTTGGGCAAGCAGATCTGCCACAGGGACTGTCCGGGGCTTAGGGACAGGGGGCTTTAGCTCAGAGTCCCCATCAGGAAGGCCATTGGTGGCCAGCTCCCCATGCTGAGGGTCAGGGTCTGGCACTGTGGCAGGACTGCAAGCCTGGCTCTGCCTCCAGAGCTCATGCTGGGTACTGGCCTGGGATGTGTCTCGGATCTTGATGCGGTTCATCTGGTTGGGCTGGGGGTTCCAGATGTTGGGGTCAATGATGTTGATGTAGCCCAGAATGTCACTGCCAGGCTCGGGGTCTGGCTCTACCCACGTAGGTAGGTACTCAAACATGTTGGCACGCTCCAAATTAAGAAGCCCCGGGTGCAGGGCTGCAGGCAGCTCGGGCACATCAGTGGGCCGCTCCACCAGAGCTGGGCCCTGGGGCCCTGGTGGCTTGGCTTCCGGCTTCTCAGAGCAGGTTTTGGCAAGCTCATCAGCACTCTTGGCCTTGACCAGTGCATACTTAGGATTGACTAGCTTCTTGGCCACAGTGCCTGCAGGCACCAGGGGGACCACAGAAGGCAACACAATGGGCTCGGGTTCAGGCTCCTTTTCCATGGGCACGCTTCTGAGGCTGACGCTGTGTGAGGTGAGGTACAGCTCCTGGAACTGCCGGTCAAACATCTCTACCACCTGGCCTGACAGCACGGAGATAACATTCCGGTCGGTCCTGGCGGCTGACCATGTAAAGCTGTAACACAGAGGGCAGCACAGGATAGCATATACGCTTCCTCAGCCTGTGGCCACTGCAGTGGCACTGGGCCCTCATGCTGGTCCCCATGCCACTGCAGTGGTACTGTACCCTGGCACTGTACTGACTGCCGGGCTACTACAGTGGTGCTCTATGTACCCTGGCACCCATGCTGGCCCCCAGGTCACTACAGTGGTACTGGGTCTCTGTGCTGGGCCCCCATGCTGACCCCTGGGCCACTGCAGTGGTGGTGGGCTCCCCGTCTTACACAGACTGTTGCTTGCTCCCTGGGCCATTCAAGAGACATGAGCTAGGGCAGATCTCCTTTTCTGTAATCTTTATGATGCAACTATGGCGAATGACATCACCTGCTGTGCCCAGCTTCTGTTGCTCTTAGGAAAACTTATACTTTCTCACTGGTGGTAGTAGATCCCAAAAAGGCAGAGTGGAGGATATGCGTGGCAGACTGACACTTGGCATGGTTCAGCAAAGGCTACTTGGCAAAGTTTCTGCCATGATGTATGCCCTACACCTTATCTGTATCATTAGAACCCCAACTCGTAGCCCTAAGGTAGCCATGAAGGTGGCCTAATACTGCACAACTGCCATTGTTGGGACTCTAGCCCCCAAGGCCAGGAAGAAGCTGCCGATCCTGGCCTACTGGTGATGGTGGGATGGACAACGGGTGTGGACAAAGTCTCCTTTCCATCAGAGTCTTGGTCATTGCTCAGCAATTTAGGGGCCTAGGAACTATAAAAGGTGTTCCATGCCGGGATTGGAGTGGTCCCAGTTGGAAAGCAGAGGAGCGAGCAGTCACCTGTAAGAGCCACACACAGCGCGATCTCCATCCACAAACATGAACTTCTGGGCTAGTGCTCCCTTGAACTTGGTGGCTGACCGGGTAAAAAACTCTGTGCCTCCACTGCTCCGCACTCTGAGGTTCTGCAGCAGGGAGGAGAAAAACATGGAGACAGAGCTGCACCATCACTGCTTTAGCCACAGAGAGCAGCATGCTTCACTGTCACAGTGCGTCCCTGGGGACCTCAGCAAGGTGAGAAATAGTGGGGCATGAGGCTAGAGAGGAGGACAGAGGGCAAGGTTGATGGGTTAGGCCATGGGACAGGGTAGGGGGTGTTGGCCCAGAGTGTGTCCCTTGGAACTGGAACCCTGTAAAGCAAGTGTCTCATTCTGTAGCCAACCAGCAGGAGAAATTCTGCCAGGTTGAAGTCAGGAGAGTGGCTTGGGGAGGCAGAGAGGAACTTTTGGATGGTGTAAGGTTTTGATTAGAACAGCAATAGGACCAGAACCCACTCCAGAAGGGTCACGCTGATGGCTGGGTCAGGGGCAGGTGAAGGGAGGAGACAGGCTGCGTTCTTCCTTCAGGCCCCTCTAACTTCCCTGCTGTGTACTGTTCACCACTTTTAGGGTACCTGGCAACCACTACCACTTCTGTACTGGAACTAGCTCACTAGCTGGTACTGGGAGGGTCATTAAAGAGAAAAACTGTGTCCTTGGCCAGGTTGCTGCTGTAACTCAGGAGCAAGACAGGAAGGCCCTAGCTGGGAAGCTGACAGCAGCAATGACATCTGGCAGCTGTAGCAGAGCTGTGCTGTAAGGGACTCAGGGACAGGCTGGGTAAGAAACAGCCTCCCTGTCACTTGGCCCTCTGAATGATGTCTTGCCCTCTGCAGGGAGGATGGCTCTCAGAGGGGTGAGATGGAGCTAGTGCCAGGTCCAAGCAACCCAGGACAGCCTGTGAGACCGGAAACAGTAGGAACCCCATCATGGAGCCTCAGGAGAAGGACACCTGGGACTCATCTAAACCAAGCATTTCCAGGGCAGATTTACAAACACTAGTTTCACGCTCCTGTGGCAAGTTCAAAGATTTTTCTTCTCTTTAAAATTGTGGTTTTAAAAAGTAGCCAATCACAGTGACTCCACATGTGTCAGAGTAGAATGGCAATCCACAGGGCTTTATAGCAGGTTTTAACGGATTATGGGCATTTCTTCCACAGTGCCTCTATGGAGAGTCAGACCTCTCACTTCTGGCTAGCAAGTGAGCACTGTTTGTACTGCCCAAAGATTCTAAGATACATGCAGCAGAGCATTTGCTATGTTTAACTCAGTGACATTAACTGTATTAACAATGGTGTGCAAAAAGACCCCTGGCAGCACAGTGGTTAAAGTATTCAGATGCTAACTGCAAAGTTGGCAGTTCCAACTACCTGCTACTCTGTGGGAGAAAGCAGTAGCTTCTGTCCACCAGGATGCAAAGCTGGGATACCCTCCAGGTGCTATGAGAGGCTGTAGGTTCTGTTCACCAGGATGCACAGAGGGCTGGGTGTGGCTATGCACCCTTAACATTAACTATTTGCAAATAGTTTTCATCACATTTGACAGGAACTCAGTGGCTTTTCAGAAACCTGTCCTCCCCAGAACTTCTTGTTTTCACACAATCCCTGATGGCCTTGTGTCCCAGTCCAGGGCAGGAATGCCCGTTAGTAGCTCCCATTGCTCTACTTACATGACCCTCACTCCCTCCCATGATGAGATGCATTCCTCTCAGGAGGCCGCTCAGCTGTTGTGCCTTTTTAGACAGGCAGTTTGCACCCCTTGTTCACACTCACTGGGCACTCAGGTGTGAGAGAGCCCTATGTGCCTGCACCTCTGTAGGTGATGGGGACCAAGGCCTGTGGAGGCCTTCATGTTGTGTGGGGACAGAAAGGGGCATGCTGACATACCAAGCTAAGTGGGTGTGAGAGGTGCAGCAGAGCACTTACATCTGAGAAGCCCAGTTTCCAAGGGGCTAGCAGGAGGGAATAATAAAGTTCGTGGAACAGTTGGGTACTGAGGTCTGTGGTACAGCTGTGCACTGGGGAACTGCTGAAGCAGGAGTTAGGGAAGCAAAGCCATAGGTCAGGGTGGAGGAGGGGCAGAGTTGGAAGGGGTGTGTTCCCCAGAATCTGATCTCAGGAAATGCTCCCACAGCCCTTGTGTGGAGGGATGGAGAGGGCAAGGGTAGGGGCAGCTGCATGTGATGGGACAGTTTGCACGTGGCAGGACAGTCTGGAGGAGCCAGCCCCCTCAAGTTCAGCCTGAGCTCTTGCAGGTGGTGGGGTGTTCCAGGCCTTTCAGTAGTGACTGAGGCTCCTATGTGACGCCTACTGGCTGTCGAGTCAGCACCACTGACAGACAAGAGGCGGCATAGTGAGCCCAGCCCAGGGGTGAGATAAGCCTTAGCTCCTAGCAGCAGGCTCTCCCTTGCAGGCAGGCAGACTGCTTGTCTGCACAAAGCCAGCTCAGCAGGAAGCTGGCCACAGCCCAGGGTAATTAGCACTTGTGACTCTGCACCCCAGCTGGTAGCATGCTGCTGGGGACAGAGAGTAGATGGACACAAGCTCCTGTCTGTCACTAGGGCCTGCTCCTCCATGAGGCTCATGTATAAGGGCCTCTGAAGGCCCTCTGCAGCCTCAGTTTCTCTGTCTGTACACTGAGTAGCAGCAGATCTTAACTTCAAAGGCCCATCCAGCTGTGAGGCCCAGCAGCAGGTAGAGGCTTGCGAAAGACCCATCCCCCACGACTGCTTCCAGGCTTGTTCTTGGGAGAGGGGCTGGCCAGCATGAGGTAATGTTCCTGGAGCCTGAGCTCTGTGAGCAGAGGTGGATTTGCCACAGAGCAGCATTGTCTTGCAGTTCTCAAAACATCTCTGTAGGGCAAACAGATTTGGAGGGGGAGGATGGGGAGAGAGGCAGTGGAGAGGGTCCCTGGCATGCACATGAGAAGGGAAGGGCGAGATGGGTGGGTGGAGAAACTGGCTAGGCACAGAGTCTGCTCAGCCTCTGCCTCATGGCCTACAGGCACCCAGCAGACCTCCAGGTGCCTGTACTCACATGGCACTGACCAACCCTCCATCCTGGGCTGAGGCCACCAGTACACAGGCTTGTACTCTGCAGGGGCGCTGGGCCAGACTGGGAGTCAGGGGTCCAATAACCAGCCTATCCACGCTTCAGCATTCTTGTCTCTTCTTGGATCAGGGGGACAGGAAGACTTGATAAGTGAGGGTCCAAGAAGTTGCTGGGCTCACTGGTGGTTCCATTATTGTGAGTGACAGACTGTGGACATGCAGGTGACCTGCACAGGAGGCTCATAGAGGGAAAGATGTGGACGAGAACAGATGGCAGACATACCTAGGACACATGGCATTGGGGTGCCTCAACTTCCAGCCACAACTTAGGGATCCCAGTGGGGTTTGGCTTGAGGGAGGGGCTGATGCTAGGTCCAAAGGCCAAGTCTGGGTCACTCCCTGCCCTCTGTGGAGCTTGCCGGCACTTTTGATGGAAGGGTGGGGAGTGAGATGCCTGGTAACCAGGGGAGGGCAGCTGGGTGTGGAGTGAACAGAGCCCAAGCCAGTGGGTGGATTATTTCTCCTGGGTAGGCTGTTCATGTACAGGTCCGTCTGCCCTCAGTCCTTGAAGTAGAGGGTGGTGGCTGCACCTCTGTCCCAGACTGCTGTGAGGCCCTTTGTGGGCCACTTCTGGCCCCAAGTGGGGACATGTGGCTGTTCTGGAAGGACCTGCTTCCTCTCCTGAATGGGGTTGTTCAGCTTTAGCTGAGCTGACCATCACCCTAGACCATTCTTACTGGTAGGGCTGACCTGTGCACTGTCAGCAGCAGCCTCTAGTCTCTGACCACTAGAATCAACAGCACCTTCCCAGTTGTAGCTCTGTCCCTAGACATGTGCCTAGACAGACATTACAGCTGGTATCCACAGGCCTAGGGCTAGGTTAGGACCAGGGAGCCCCGGGTATGAGGAAGGGCTGGGGTAGCCACTTCGTGAGATGGGTCCTTGTGCCCTCACTGATGCGTGCTCTGCTGTCAGGGGGATGGGACATTTGAAATGGGTCTGGCCTGTACCAAGTGGCCACTGCTGGTTTTTCTAATTTGGTTGCTAGTTCATAAAACTAGTTCATTTTTCAGGCTGATCAGGCATCTAAAAGCATTGGACCCATCCTGAGCTGTTAGGTTGGAGGGTTACCAGCTCCCTCCAAACTCAGGGCCAGCCTCAGCATTGCTCAGCCCTGCAAGCTGTAGAAAGCACAGCAAGCCCAGGGCCTGCTTCCACACTTGTAAACCAGAAGTAGCTCCCATGTTCTCACTGGGCTGGGGTGCCAGGACAACTGGGATTTTGGCATGCATAGCCCACCTCACCTGGTGACCAGGAAGCAGGTTTTCCAGAATGTGATAGGGTGGAAGGAGGTGGCTAGGGTATAGGTTAAGAGCTTCTGGTAGGCTAGGGGCCCCTTGCTAAAATGCAGTGCACCCTCAGAGCCTGGGCTAGGGTCTCCTGGGAACAGCTGTGTTCCCCAGTCAAAGAGGTGGTGGGGGAGGCATTTCTAAGTGCACATCACATATGGACTCCCTTTCCACAGCAATCTGCCACCCACTTCCCACTGTACAGAGCTGGGTGGACACATGAGACCCCAGCATGAGGCCCTGTGGCCCTAAGTGGCTCACGTGTGTAGCTCTGTGCCTGGGTCCACAGGAGCCAGGGCAGGTCAGTGCAGAGCCAGGCAGGACACTGGTGGCTTTAGGATTAGTGAGGAAGTGCTCCAGAGACAGGTCTAGGCCGAGCTAGCCAGAGGGAAGGGAGGTCCGTCCACAGGAGCCTCCTTGCTGGGCGGGGCCTACAGGAGCTGCTGGCAAGGCTCAAAGCAGCAGAAGGCCGGGCGAGAATGAGGAATCCAGGGTCAGACTTTCCCATGACTAGGGCTGGCCTGGTCCCTACAAGATGAAGCATAAGTGCCTTCTGCCAGGCCACTATCCCCAGAGCAGGCAAGTAGGGTGAGGTGGGTGCAGGCAGATGCCAATGTGCCCTCTCCTGGTGCTGAAGGACCACCACACACACCCAGCTGCCTAGCCTTTACTCCTAGGGCCTTGGGCTTTGCTCTGGCCAGCAGCAGCCTCTTACAGCTGTCCTCTCTTTTCAGTTCACCCTCAAGCTGCCCTTTGAGGCATCATACTGATTCTCAGAGATGTGGCAGTGCCATCTAGGCTGGCACATGCAAGCAAGTGGCATAGCGGGCACCCATGTTTTGTGCTCTTCTTGTACCTGCCAAGTTCTTGATTCTGGCTCACAGGTCAAACTCTGACTTGACAGAATTTCTGGGCAAGTCACCACCCTTGGACTCCAGTTTCCACACTTATGTGCAGGAACCTTGTTGGAGCAGCCTCAAGGACCCTGCTGGCTCAGGCGTTCCAGGCTGAGCTGCTGGGCTCTGTGGACACAGGCAGGGGTGGGGATGGGGGTGAGGAGAGGCAGGGAGGGGGCCTGGCCTTGCAGGATGCTGACAGTTTCATGTCTTTGGCTCACCTCAACCCTAGGCTTCCTCCACTTCCTTAGAGATCAGAGAACAGAAGAGATGCAACTAGGGTGGCTGTGCTAAGGGCCTGGGGTACAACATGAGGACAGGGAAGTTTCCTACCATTCCCTACCAGTAAGTCCCTTCCATATACTAGATATGGCAGGGCCAGAGGAGGTAGCTGAGGGGGTGGGTACAGAATCTGGCTTGGCAAAAGCTATATACAGTGTGAGGGCAGCAGTAGGATTTCCATGGAGCCTGGAAAGGGCTGGACAGAGTGGCCTGGGGTCTCTGGCATGTTCCCACAAGCCTTACCTTGCTGATGTTTGAGAAGATGTGTTCTGCATGCCCAGCTGGAAGCTACGGAAGCATCTCACTTGGTGCTCACTAACTACCCTGCTGGGCTAGGTGGCATGTGGGGTTTGGGGTCAGCGTGTCCATGGGACCACATGAAACATACATACAGCCACAGGTTTGCCCAGGGAGCTCACACCCTACTTTAAAGGACTCAACTGAGTTGGAGGGATGGTATTCTTGGCAGAAGCCAACAAGCATGGGAGCCTGGCCCCTTATTAATCAGCCCGTCCCTTCTTCCTGGGTGTTTGGATCCTGAGCTGAAACTCTAAGGAATGCTACTGGTCAGATCTTAATGCTCTGACGCTGGCTCCTTGCCTTTCATCTGTTGGGTACAGCAGACATGCTCTGGGCAGGTGTGTCCACTGCTTCACCTGTCAGCATGGAAAGGCTGCCACAGTCCACTAAGTGTTGCAGATTAAATGAGTTAAGCCTAGGACAAACCTAATGCACCTAGGATGGACCTAGGATGGCAGATGCTGTGCAAGATTATCTCTAATAGTGTAGGCTGGCCTACACTCTTCCGACCTGCACACTGTGCCTGTCAAGCAGTGGCTGTGTGGACTGGGGGCTTCCCCAGCCAAGCTTTGAGTAGAACAGACTGGCAGCACCATCTCATGTGTCCCTGTAGTCCAGGGACGACGTGATGGTCACTAAGCCAGGCAGTGATGGGGGCAAGGCCTGTCCCTCCTACAGACTTTGATTCCCAGTGGGGACACAGGAGGTCACTTCTGTTTTTGCTGAACCCAACTCAACACCATCATGGAAGCCATTCCTGGCTCCCGCTGTGGGCACTGCCTCTGTTTGAGCCACATGTAAAGCCAGTGGGTAGACAGTTTAAAGAGGTGAATTTCAGTTTCATCCCAGCAGGAGTTGGCTGTGTGCCTGCGAGATCCTGAGCACCCTGTTGCTGGAAGTGTGCAAGCTAAGGCAGGGCCAGTTCAGAAGAACACAAAATAGCACAGGCATGCGGTCTCACAGCTGCCTGGCACTCTGCCAGCATTGACTGAGCCTTTGGCCATTGCAGGGAATGAGTGTCCCATCCCTTGGGGTGGGATGGCTGGGTGCTGCACCTGGTATGGGCTCCAATCCATCAGGACAGCCGAATGGCCCTGTGCTCGCTTACCTTGAGATGCCCTGAATGCATGCAGGCACGCTCACACATGTGCAGGAAGTACTTGATGCTGCTCTCATCTATGATGATGTACACAGCCACCTTCCTCTTGAAGCCAGCATCCAGCAAGTCCTTGAAGATGTCCACGTCGGTGAACATGTCCATGACCACAGCAATCACCTGGAGCAGGAGAGAGGGCATGCTTGTTAGAAGCTGGGAGTGGACACACTGCCATCCATCTGCTCACAGCAGCCTCAGGACCAGACCATGCATGGGACAGGACAGCCTTAGCCTGGCATTTCAGGTCCAGGTTCCACTTGGGAGGCCTAGGCTCTTATGGCATATACTAGCTTCTGTAGTGGTCGGCAATAGGGAGAAATAATATGTGAGCCAAAACCACAGGAAAGAAAGCTCAGCTGGCCTGAGGTGAGAGAGCCCAAGGCAGCTAGAGCAAAGACTGGGAAAACCAGCTGGCAGGGAGGGTGCAGCCCCTTGGCCTCCTTCCTATATCTGGGCAGAGCCAGAATGAGCTAGTGTCACTGTTGCCATCTGACCAGGTCTGTCACATCACCACAGGTGAGGTCCACTGCAAATCCTGACTCAGGGTGGGGACTCAGAGGTCCAGAGGCCCCAGCCACAATTGTAGGCCAGCACAGCTGACTACAGTGTCCATATGGGTGTAAGGACACAGCAAGGGCGAGTAGTCAGTACAGGGGTGGGCCTGGCCCCGGGCTTGTAGCCAGCATGTGTGTACCTGCATGCCCACTGCTACTTGGAGAGGCTGGCAAGAGGCTGGGAAAGGCTAGTGTCCAGCAGGTCCTGTCAATCCAATTCTGTTATACGGTTTGTGGGGGCTCAGGGGACACTGCCATACTGTGAAATCACAGGGGACGCTGTGGACCTTTTGTGATTCAGGGGACTGTGTGGTACTCTGATGGCTCAGGAGATGCTGTGGTACTGTTGCGGCTCAGATGGCACTGCTGTACGGTGGTGGCTCAGGGGACTTTGTGGTACTGTGAGGGTTCAAGGGACTGCTGTGTGATACTGTGGGGGCTCAGGGGGCTGTGTGGTACTGTATGGGTTCAGGGGATGCTGTGGCACTGTGGGGGCTCAAGAAATGCTGCTATACTATGGTGGTTCAGGTTTGAGACTGGAAGATATGGTACTGGTATTTCAAATATCAACAGGGTCATCAAGGAGGACAGATTCAGTGGTTCCCTAAGATAGACCAGACAGAAAACCACAAGGTTTTGTGGCCTAATTTCAGAAGCAGATGTCCATGTCCATATAAAAAGTAAAAAAACACTTATGGATCACAACAGAGCACTGAGATTGGAAAATGATACCCTAGGTTCAAAGTCAGTCACAGCATAATGTGCTGTGGCCAAAGCAATGAGCGTGAGCATGCTAACAGGGCAGATTCGAGACCAGAAATGGGTTTATCCCATTGCACATGGATGAGCCAGAAGCTGTACCTCTTTGATAGTAGCTAAGATACAAACCACTCATCTGTCCCACAGGCAGCAGAGGGGAGGGTGTCAGGGCAGGATTGGAGTCTGGCCACAGGTGTTCCTGCTGCCAACCCCAACCAGCAGCCAGCTCTCTAGGCTGCCTACCACACCTGTTCTAGCCTTGGCTCTAGTCTGAGAACGTCTGGTGAAATTCTACCAGGCTTGTTCTCTAGGCCTTATGGAAGGGAGCTTGGGTGGCCTAGTGGTAAGACGCTGTGCTGCCAACCTAAAGGCACATGGTTTGAATCCACTAGCTGCTTCTCAGGAGAAATATGGGCAGTCTCTTCCTGTGAAATTTATTGTCTCTGAAAATTCTACTGGAGGGGCAGTTATGGGTCAGCTCCAACGGGATGGTACTCAACAAGAGACTATATAGAGAGCTAAGGCAGTTAGACTGTGAGCCTTCACAGATCCAGATGAGAGTGCCAAGGAGACAGGAAGATGTTTGTGTCCCATATGGGCTGTCCCCAAGCTGTCCAGAATGCCCACCTGAAGCCCCCACCTCATGGAAACCCACTCCTGGGTGGGGTTCCTCCATTCTTGCTCACTGAGCAGGATCATTCAGGGTGACGTGACCCAGAGCCCCCAGTGCAGGAAGGGCCCAGCCACAGGCAGCAATGATCATGACACAGTGCCCTCGTAACCTTGCTCCCCTGAGCCTCCCAAAGCACTGGGGTCCCAATTTGTAGCTAGATATCCCAAGGCTCTGCAAGGCTATGCAGCAGAACCTGGCCCAATCTTAGGCCTCCAGCCCCTTCCCTGGGATAAGCCTTTGTCTCAGACTGCCAAGGAGTGCTGCTGGCCCACCGAATGGTGAGGATTCTCCTACCTTCTACGGGCACAAAATGTTTGCCTTTGTGAAGGGCTGCCTTGGGGCAGAGGGCATGTGCAGAGTTTGTGCATGAGACAGCAGGGCTGAGCCAGGGCAGGAAAGGAGGACCTGTTCTCTGATCCCCAGAGATTTCCAAATTGCTCACTGTCTCTGAAGAGATGCTCTTGAGAGGCAGTGAGCTCCCTGTTCCAGGCATCCAAGGAGAGATTAGAGATTGCTTGTAGAAGGAGGGACAGGCCAGCAGCCTCCACAATCACTTATGCAGTGTCAGAGCTAGTGACGAAGGAGGTCACAACAGCCCTAGACAAGCTGGCATGACAAGACTCTAAGGGGTTAAGACAGAGACATCTTCCTCTGGGATTATACCATCCCAGAGTACCCTTGAGCTGGACAAGCCACTAAGCAGGCACACGTTGACTCTGTAAATGGGCGGAATCTGGGTGCAGCCAGCATGCTTCTCCCTGAGGTACAGTTCCCTCTCCCTGGGCCAGGGGCTGGTACAGGCAGACAGGGACTTCTTCTGTGCTCACACAAGAGGATGTGCTCCAGTAGCACCATGCCATTGGTCCTGTATGCCTTCTCACACTCTGGTAGGTAGGTAGCCCCAACCTAGGCACTGCTGTGGTCCTACAGGGTTGGAGGCCGTTATCATGGCTCTTTGAGGCAGGGGACTGATTGCCTCTGAGGCAGGAGTCTTGAAGAGGACTAGTAGCAAGAGGGCCCAGTGGTATTTGGACTGCTGATGCTGGAGGTGGGTAGTAAGGGGCTGATCTCCCAGAAAGGATCCCTAAATGATCTGGTCTATAATCAGAGTCACATGAGCTGGCCATATATGACCAGACTCATGTAGGCCCTTTGGCTAGCGATAGTACAAGCCAGCATACATCCTCCTCCTTGTACAAAGACATGGACACTGTGCACAGGGTGTCTTTCCTGGACTAGTACTGTGATGTCAGTCACTGGGGCAGAGTCCCTGCCTGTGTGGGGTGGTGAAGCTGAGGGCAGCTCCAGCCACTCAGTTCAGTGTCTCAGTTCAGGAGCCAGTTTCCTCATCTGCCCCCTGGGAGCCCTGGCCTGGCTCTTCCCTTAGCACTTTGTCAGGCTAGAAACTACCTGTGGGTCCCACAGACCTTGAAAATGCAACCACAGAACTCAGGAAGGGCTTGGTTTCATCAATGACTCCCTGGTGCTTCACCCCAAGTAGAAGTATCGGGGTTGCTGTGAGACTGGGGGGAGATGAGTACAAGATAGTGGTGATGCCAGCAGACATAGTGCTGGGGAGTGGTCACCTGCCTAACACTGTCCATGCTTGGGGCTGCAGTGAGGTGAGACCTCTTCTGCTCATCTCCCAGGGAGGTGACACGCACAAGGCTCCCTGGCTCGGCTGCCGCACTTCCTTTGTCCTTTCACCCCCGCTCCACCCATGGAGCCTAACTTCCCTTTATGCCTCTAGTCCTCACCTCTTTTCCATGGGCTAAGAGTGCCTCTGACTGAGCTCCTGCACTAGCCTTGCTCAGCCTTCCACCCCAGTCTCCTGATGACTTCAGAATGCCATAACATCTTAGAGGCAGGGACAAGCTCTGAGGAACACCCCATGTTATCATTGCAGAAAGTGTGGCTCAGGCTGGCAGAGACTGGCCCAGGCCCAAGGCTCTTCCACAAACACCTCTGGCATCTGCGTGGCCAAAAAGAGCGAATGTCCATGCTGTGGCTGCCATCTCCTAGAAACACTGCCTCAAGTCCTATGCAAATTGCTGCTGGTATAGAAACACAGGGCAGGGGCTGTGGGTCAGCCAGAGTGATGTCCTCCCTGCAATTTTGTGGCAATCTCTGAGCCCAGAACAGATGGACCCAGAGACAGAGTTTCTGGGCTTCAGCTAAAGTGCCAGAATTTGAATCAGCTGCCCTGTCTCTCTGGCCTCAATTGCTCCATCTATCAAATACGGGGTAAACAGAATATTCCACAGCTCACTCTGTTCTGAAGACCAACTAATGGATACTCAGGTGCCCAACATAGCCTCGGGACCAGCTAAGCACTGGCCAAGCCCATGCACCATAGAGAGGAAGTCTTTGGCTCCCATGATTCTACCTCCCTCTCGAGAAACCCTATGAACAAAAGGCCTGAAACCCCTCTACAACTATCAACATTTATCAAAATTCACTGAGTTTCTGAAGGCATGTTATTTAGCAAGTGGATGCCACTCCTGTTTCCACTTCCCTCTGGCACTATTTGCCACAATTTCCCTGCATTACTGGGCACCTGCTTGTACTGCCCCAGCAAGCACAGCTGGTATTCTCGAAACATTCCTGTAATGAAAGGCATGTTCTTAGAAGGTGGCATCTTTCCGATAACTAGCTATGCATCCGAGACCTAGACAGTGAATAAGGATGACAGAATAAGAATTGAGACCTTTGAGCTGTGGTGTTGGAGAAGTGCACTGAACATCCCATGCATGGACATGAGAACGAACAGATATGTCGTGGAGAGGGTGCAATGGAGTGCTCTTTGGAGGCAAGCATGATGAGGCTTCATCTTACATACTTTGGACATGTTGCTAGGAGATGCTATTCCTTGAATAGGGACATAATATTAGGAAGGGCAGAGGGTTGGCGAAGGAGAGGAAGAACCTCAACCTGGTGGACTGACACAGTGACTGCTGCAATGGGCTCTTGTGTGTTAGGAAGTATGAGGATGGTGCAGGATAGGGTCTGGATTCAGATCTTTTGTTAATAGGGTTGCTATGAGTCGTACTTGACTTGACAGCACCTAACAGCACAACAGGTAAAGCAGGAGATAGGACACATCCCTGGTATACACCCTTCTCGATTTCTGATGA